TTCCTTCCTTCCTTCCTTCCTTCCTTCCTTCCTTCCTTCCTTCCTTCTATGTGTCACTTGTCTATCTATTTGTCACTTGTCTATCTATCTAGTTGTTTGTCTATCTATCCATCCATCCATCCATCATCCATCCATCCATCCATCTATATATATATATATCGATCTATCTATCAATCTATCTCTCTATATATATTTATATATCTATGTATATCTATGTTTCAGTTTACATTGATCATAATCTATCTATCACTATCTATTTATCATTATCTGTATATCATTATCTACCTATAATTGTCAATATTTCATTTTCTATCTCAATCGATCATTGTATATCTATCATTATTTGTCTATCAGTATATATCATCTATCATTATCTGATATCAATCTAGCATTATTTGTCTATCATTATCTATCTATCATTGTTTATCTATCATTGTTTATCTAGCGTTATCTATCTATCATTAGTTGTCGATCATTGCATGTGTCTCACCGAGTTTCACTCCGCCATTTGACGAGTTTCGCTACCTCGCTCAGAGGGTGAACCCGTCACTTGCCACATTATAGCCTAGTGCAGCCGATTATTTTATCGAGATTCCGATTCTTTGTTTCACCCGCCAGTGTTCGATTCATTATAAGAGGCTCCATGCGGCTCCATGACCGAACGCATGTGCGTATGTGAGCGGCGAGCCTACCATGGTGAAGGCGATGCAGGTCATGCACCAGCACAACGTGCGTTTGCAGGATGACGCTTGGTTCCTGCGATTGAGGTCGCTGGTCGTTGGCTGGCTGGAGGCAGGGCAGTGTGATGTGACCGTTCTTGCTTTGGTCAGCATCGCAAGCAGCCACCAGAACACACGTGTTCTTGATGCCCTAGAGCGTGATGAGTTGCAGTTTGAATTCGCAAAGCCGGCGCCGCAGAACTGCTGCTCGCTGCTGAAGTGGTTGCAAAACCTTGCGAAGAAAGACGCATGGCAGATACCTGCCTATTCCTCACGTGCAAGGGTTGTTGTAGCAGAGCAACCCTTATTTAGTCTAACTGCCGACATGTTTCGCATCAGATGGAGCTTGATTCTTGATCCTGTTTCTTCTTCCAGCCGCGCGTTGGGCCACGCCGAGGGACTGATCCACAGCCCACGGTATGACCAGCGCACCCACAACGCCAATGAACCGTGCGTGGACATGTGCTTGTCGAAAGAGGAGTGTGAATGGTACCTCCAAAATTCTACGTGGGAGGTCCGCCTGCAGGCGGAACCGAGCTTTGCAGAATCCTGATACCAACATCTCATACAGATGTGCAAAACAGTTTCCATCTAACTTGTCCGTCTATCCACCTATCCATCTACTAACTGTCTGTCTACCTCTACCTTAGTCTATCTCATCCATTTATCTATCCACACTATCTATCTATCTGTCTGTCTGTCTGTCTATCTATTCTATTTACCTGACATTATCTAACGGTCTATCTGCCATCTGCCATCTGTCTAATTATCTATCTATCTACCTATTTGCGTACCTATGTTTCTGTTTTTCGTTATTTGTTCATTTCTTTCTTTATTTCTTTCTTTATTTATGTATTTTTTCTTTCTTTCTTTCTTTCTTTATTTCTTTCTTTCTTTATGTCGTTCTTTCTTTCCTTCCTGTCCTATCCTACACATTCCTATCCTGTCCTGTCCTACCCTATCCTATCCTATCCATCGATCTATCTATCTATCCTCCTACCCTATCCTTTCCTATCGTATCCCATCCCATCCCACCATCCATTCATCCATCCATCCATCCATCCATCCGTAGCCATTTTGGCTCAAGATGATCTTGGCTAGTGCGCATGCTCAACAACCTTCATGATGTCTAGTTGTTGTGGTGGCCTTCCATCATGCGATGGGAATTTGTGTAGGACACTCTTGCGGGACACTCTGTAGGACACTCTTGTAGCACACTCTTGTGGGCCACTCTTGTAGGAAACTCTTGTAGGACACTCTTGTGGGACACTCTTATAGGACACTCTTGTGGGACACTCTTGTGGGACACTCTGGTGGGACACTCTTGTGGGACACTCTTGTGGGACACTCTTGTGGGACACTCTTGTAGGACACTC